TGCCAGGTCGGCGGGTGCTAGGTCGGCCGGTGCTAGGTCGGCGGGCCCTAGGTCGGCGGGTGCTAGGTCGGCGGGTTCTAGGTCGGCGGGGGCTAGGTCGGCGGGTGCTAGGTCGGCGGGTGCTAGGTCGGCGGGTGCCAGGTCGGCGGGTGCCAGGTCGGCGGGTGCCAGGTCGGCGGGTGCTAGGTCGGCGGGCGCTAGGTCGGCGGGTGCTAGGTCGGCGGGCGCTAGGTCGGCGGGTGCTAGGTCGGTGGGTGCTGCGGGTGTCAGGTCGGCGGGTGCTTGGTCGGCGGGTGCCAGGTCGGCGGGTGCCAGGTCGGCGGGTGCTAGGTCGGCGGGTGCTAGGTCGGCGGGGGCTAGGTCGGCGGGTGCTAGGTCGGCGGGTGCCAGGGCGGCGGGCGCTAGGTCGGCGGGTGCCAGGTCGGCGGGTGCTAGGTCGGCCGGTGCTAGGTCGGCGGGCCCTAGGTCGGCGGGTTTTAGGTCGGCGGGTGCTAGGTCGGCGGGCCCTAGGTCGGCGGGTGCTAGGTCGGCGGGCGCTAGGTCGGCGGGTGCCAGGTCGGTGGGTGCTAAGTCGGCGGGTGGTAGGTCGGCGGGTGCCAGGTCGGCGGGTGCTAGGTCGGCGGGTGCTAGGTCGGCGGGTGCTAGGTCGGCGGGCGCTAGGTCGGCGGGTGCCAGGTCGGCGGGTGCTAGGTCGGCGGGTGCTAGGTCGGCGGGTGCTAGGTCGGCGGGTGCTAGGTCGGCGGGTGCCAGGTCGGCGGGTGCTAGGTCGGCCGGTGCTAGGTCGGCGGGCGCTAGGTCGGCGGGTGCTAGGTCGGCGGGTGCTAGGTCGGCGGGTGCTAGGTCGATGGGCGCTAGCCTGCTAAGTCTAGTTCGACGGGTGCCAGGTCGGCGGGTGCCAGGTCGGCGGGTGCCAGGTCGGCGGGTGCTAGGTCGGCGGGTGCTAGGTTGGCGGGTGCTAGGTCGGCGGGTGCTAGGTCGGCGGGTGCCAGGTCGGCGGGTGCCAGGTCGGCGGGTGCCAGGTCGGCGGGTGCCAGGTCGGCGGGTGCCAGGTCGGCGGGTGCCAGGTCGGTGGGTGCCAGGTCGGCGGGTGCCAGGTCGGCGGGTGCCAGGTCGGCGGGTGCTAGGTCGGCGGGTGCTAGCTCGGCGGGTGCTAGCCTGCTAGGTCGGCGGGTGCTAGGTCGGCGGGTGCTAGGTCGGCGGGTGCCAGGTCGGTGGGTGCCAGGTGGGCGGGTGCCAGGTCGGCGGGTGCCAGGTCGGCGGGTGCTAGGTCGGCGGGTGCTAGGTCGGCGGGTGCTAGGTCGGCGGGTGCCAGGTCGGCGGGTGCCAGGTCGGCGGGTGCTAGGTCGGCGGGTGCTAGGTCGGCGGGTGCTAGGTCGGCGCGTGCCAGGTCGGCGGGTGCTAGGTCGGCGGGTGCCAGGTCGGCGGGTGCTAGGTCGGCGGGTGCTAGGTCGGCGGGTGCTAGGTCGGCGGGTGCTAGGTCGGCGGGTGCCAGGTCGGCGGGTGCCAGGTCGGCGGGTGCTAGGTCGGCGGGTGCTAGGTCGGCGGGTGCTAGGTCGGCGGGTGCTAGGTCGGCGGCTGCCAGGTCGGCGGGTTTAAGGTCGGCGGGTGCTAGGTCGGCGGGCGCTAGGTCGGCGGGTGCTAGGTCGGCGGGCGCTAGGTCGGCGGGTGCCAGGTCGGTGGGTGCTGCGGGTGCCAGGTCGGCGGGTTTTAGCTCGGCGGGTGCTAGGTCGGCGGACCCTAGGTCGGCGGGTGCTAGGTCGGCGGGTGCTAGGTCGGCGGGTGCCAGGTCGGTGGGTGCTAGGTCGGCGGGTGCTAGGTCGGCGGGTGCCAGGTCGGCGGGTGCTAGGTCGGCGGGTGCTGGGTCGGCGGGTGCTGGGTCGGCGGGTGCCAGGTCGGCGGGTGCTAGGTCGGAGGGTGCTAAGTCGGAGGGTGCCAGGTCGGCGGGTGCCAGGTCGGAGGGTGCAAGGTCCGCGGGTGCCAGGTCGGCGGGTGCAAGGTCGGCGGGTGCTAGGTCGGCGGGTGCCAGGTCGGCGGGTGCCAGGTCGGCGGGTGCCAGGTCGGCGGATGCTAGGTCGGCGGATGCCAGGTCGGCGGGTGCCAGGTCGGCGGGTGCTGGGTCGGCGGGTGCTGGGTCGGCGGGTGCTGGGTCGGCGGGTGCTAGGTCGGCGGGTGCCAGGTCGGCGGGTGCTAGGTCGGCGGGTGCTGGGTCGGCGGGTGCTGGGTCGGCGGGTGCAAGGTCGGCGGGTGCCAGGTCGGCGAGTGCCAGGTCGGCGGGTGCCAGGTCGGTGGGTGCTAGGTCGGCGGGTGCCAGGTCGGCGGGTGCCAGGTCGGCGGGTGCCAGGTCGGCGGGTGCTAGGTCGGCGGGTGCCAGGTCGGCGGGTGCCAGGTCGGCGGGTGCTAAGTCGGCGGGTGCTAGGTCGGCGGGTGCTAAGTCGGCGGGTGCTAGGTCGGCGCGTGCTAGGTCGGCGGGTGCTAGGTCGGCGGGTGCTAGGTCGGCGGGTGCTAGGTCGGCGGGTGCTAGGTCGGCGGGTGCCAGGTCGGCGGGTGCTAGGTCGGCGGGTGCTAGGTCGGCGGGTGCTAGGTCGGCGGGCGCCAGGTCGGCGGGTGCTGGGTCGGCGGGTGCTAGGTCGGAGGGTGCTAAGTCGGAGGGTGCCAGGTCGGCGGGTGCCAGGTCGGCGGGTGCCAGGTCCGCGGGTGCCAGGTCCGCGGGTGCAAGGTCTGCGGGTGCTAGGTCGGCGGGTGCCAGGTCGGCGGGTGCCAGGTCGGCGGGTGCTAGGTCGGCGGGTGCTAGGTCGGCGGGTGCTAGGTCGGCGGGTGCCAGGTCGGCGGGTGCCAGGTCGGCGGGTGCTAAGTCGGCGGGTGCTAGGTCGGCGGGTGCTAAGACGGCGGGTGCTAGGTCGGCGCGTGCTAGGTCGGCGGGTGCTAGGTCGTCGGGTGCCAGGTCGGGGGTGCCAGGTCCGCGGGTGCCAGGTCGGCGGGTGCTAGGTCGGCGGGTGCCAGGTCGGCGGGTGCTAGGTCGGCGGGTGCTAGGTCGGCGGGTGCTAGGTCGGCGGGTGCTAGGTCGGCGGGTGCCAGGTCGGCGGGTGCCAGGTCGGCGGGTGCTAGGTCTGCGGGTGCTAGGTCGGCGGGTGCTAGGTCGGCGGGTGCCAGGTCGGCGGGTGCCAGGTCGGCGGGTGCTAGGTCGGCGGGTGCTAGGTCGGCGGGTGCTAGGTCGGCGGGTGCCAGGTCGGCGGGTGCTAGGTCGGCGGGTGCTAGGTCGGCGGGCGCTAGGTCGGCGGGTGCTAGGTCGGCGGGCGCTAGGTCGGCGGGTGCTAGGTCGGTGGGTGCTGCGTGTGCCAGGTCGGCGGGTGCTAGGTCGGCCGGTGCTAGGTCGGCGGGCCCTAGGTCGGCGGGTGCTAGGTCGGCGGGCGCTAGGTCGGCGGGTGCCAGGTCGGTGGGTGCTAGGTCGGCGGGTGCTAGGTCAGACACACGCAGACAGACACACGCACACGCGTCTTCCCCTGCAACACGTACGTACGGTACTTACATACACATGGCAAGAGATCGTAGGCTAAGGAAACGCCACAGCTCCGTCTGCCTGACTGATACAGCCCTTGCGCGGCATCCAGCCCGCCCTACGAGAGTGGAAGCTTCGAGCAATCCTGTGAGACACAGACCTTCCGACGTACGTGTATCAGAGCTTGCAGTCTGTGGTGCTTGCAGTCTGTGGTGGAGCCACCCTACCTGCTGGGCGCACACACATACACACGCCTGCCGTGCACCGATCCACATGCAGACCGTGCATCTATGCTTGGTTGCTTGGCCAGCTTGCGTGCTGCTGTACACTTTGGCCCCACAGCGGGCTGTATGTGAAGGACCCCGCCCTACTGCCCCTCAGTGGATGCAATGCCAGCCAGCGAATGTCGTACAACACCGTTTTGGTGACGCCGGATGGATGGAAGATGCATGCGCCCAAGGGACAAGGCCTACACACATGCATCGGCTCCACCACCAGTCAGCAGTTTGCTCTCAGCGCCAACAGCTGCATACGTACGATACGGGGTTGGCCTGAAGTATCTGAGTAAGCATTGGCCGCAGACAGCTCACCAACATATATATCTGGGGACTACACCGGCACGCACGCACGCACCCGGCCAACCGCTATGCATGTATGTATGCCCCACATGTATGCCGGACTACCCGTCCATTATCCTTGCTCGCAGCTGCTTTGTTTGCGTTCAGGTTACACGGGCCTGGCTGTGTGTATGTGCTCGTCGATGATCCGCCTGCAGCCCGCCACCTGCCCACCATGCATCCCTGCAGACCCTGCTCGCACCCGCCATGCATCGGGGGCCACATGGACATTAGCAAACCCGCCTGCTGGACAGCCCATGGAGTTGTAAAGCTCTCGTCACTCTCGCAAGTCCTATGCTTTCATCAAGTGGGTGTTTCGTCTACAAGCCGCCTGCATCCAGACTGCCCACCATGCATCCCTGCTGCTGCTCACAGCATCAGGCGGACCATCCACACTGACACCAGCTAGCCCGACAGGTATGCGTGCCTATCACTTCTAATCGCAACTACTGCCATGCAACCACGGCAAACGCGGGTTGCTTGTATGTTGTCACGCTTCGAGCCTTTCCCTACCCCTACCGCGTGCTAGCCACACATGCATAGCGGGGCCCTACCTAACCCTGTCCGCCATGCGCCACGATGACGCTCCTTATGAGTCCAGCACGGACCTCTATCTCCCCAATCAAGCTGTTTCGTCGGATGGATTGCGGAATTCGCACACATGGATGCGCGACTATATATATATGGGGCAGCAACTGACAAGCAGGATTGACAGCTGGAGCAGGATGACGGAGGGCTGCTGACTCAGGCTACTGAACAAGGGCATGGCTTGCTGTGGTGGTCACTGAGCCAAAGACACCCATGAAAGGTAGTGACGGCCGCAGGCGGCGTGCTGCATGTGCACCTCGTGCAGCAGATACCTGCACAGCAGCTCGGGTCACATGCCTGCTCCAACATCCTGCTGGCGTGTGCCTGTTTGCATCACTGCCATGCCCCCAAGGATGGACGGCTGCGTTAGCAACTGGCAGCATACATCATAGGGACCTTACCATCGTTCCTCATGTCTCACACGAATCCTCTCGCCCGGTCGGCCCTCCTAACCGCGCCCTTGCCTACAAAAGTATAGTTTGCATGGCGTTTTACAGCCTTGACCAGCACTGTGCTCAGTCATTCAAGTCGTACGCAACTTCGCTACACATTCCTATGTACAAGTCGTCGCAAGTCAAACCGTTGTAGTATGTATGCACCTAGGGACCCAAAGTACTTCCAGCGTCCCAAACTTATGTCGTCCGATGGAACGCACGCCAGGGACCAACCCAGATGCAAAATTAGGACTGCAGGCAGGTGTAGAACCCCGCACGCGCTTGTGTGACATATAAGTTTCCCCGGAGTGCTTGTCTTATTAATACAGATCCTATTAGAAGGGCCCCTTTATACCAAAGAAAGACATGCCACTCCTGCCACTGTACGCAACCTAATCTACCCTATCCCCCGATGTCAGATACGCTAGGGTTGCCTGGAAAACCATTGTGCCTAAATCCTTGCCAGTGCCCCTGCCATTTACGGAATGCTGCATTGACTAGAAATGCTGCACGAAACGGTGCCCACAAAGGTGCCGAATGTGTACGCTATACCCTATCATGAGCGTAGTCCAGGACTACAGCATTCGCCTGACTATGCGCGGCCCTGCTGTTTGGCTCGGTTCAGGCGCATCTCCTCCAGCACCTGCAAAGGGTGAAATTCCAAATCCTCATATCCGGCGAAGGACTAAAACATGCGAAAGGATCGATACCCTTCCCGACAGCCTGCATGGAGTGTAAAGCAACCGGTGTACATAAACACCTGTAATAGGAAATCGTACGGCAGATCCTGCCTCATTACGCACTGGCAAGCGCGGGAACATGCAGTTGCTATATGTTATCTGTCATATGCTATCGAAAGCAAGCTTTGCAAAACGGCGCTTATACCCGAGACCCACCTGTGCAATGAAATCGACATCTCCCTGGTCCCGCATGACGCCACGCGGCAGGTAGTCCTTGAGCACCGCTGCCTCGCGCAGCAACTTCTTGCGCTCCTCCTCCACCAGGTTTTGCAGCCGTGCCTCCTCGGCGCGCCTAACGGTCACGGCAGGCAGACGAAGGTTAAAACTCGGTAGAAACGGCCGAACAATGCATTGGTTACTCAAGGAAAAGGGAATGCATCGGTGTGACACCGCATGCATGCCCTTCTTGACATACAAGGCAAAAGAGCGTTCGACTACCGCTAAGCACCGGCACCAATGTGGCAGAACCCCGAACCGATCCAGACCGAATCCAGACAGAACCCCGATTCGATACCCACTTGGCGACTTCCTCTGCTTCCTCGCGCGCCTTGGCTTCTTCGAACGCCCGCCGCTTCTCGTCGATGAGACGCTGCACTTCTCGGGCATGCTCCGCCATGCGCATGCGCCGCTTTTGTGCATTCATCTGTTCCAGCCGTTCGTCCTCGGCGAACTTAGCAAGCATGCGCTGCCGGAACTCCTCCTCCTCCGCGCGGAAGGCTGCCTCGCGCTCCTCCTGTGGAAGTTGTTGCGGCGTTCAGTCAATATGCATATAAGTCTTGTGAACATGATTCATCGCAACTCCGCAGCTACTGTGGATCTGGCAAAATGTCCACCCTCGACACCCCGTCGTATTATGAATGCAGCACCCACCTTGAGCTTCATTTGGTACTGGTTCGCCCGCATCATCTCAGCGCGTGCCTCCTCCGCCTTGCGCTTGCGCTCCTCGTCCTCGGCACGGTGCTTGGCTTCCACCTCCTCCTGCCGCAGCATATTGATTAGCGCCTCCTCCTCCTCGCGCCTGCATTAAGGCGTGACAACAAAGCTAGGTATGCATGGCACATCGCCTTTGCAGAGCGCCTAGGCATCCTAAGCCAGCTCTCAGCACTACCCTAGAAAACGCGACGAAGGAAACATTTGATCCGAAAGCATGCGCCGAAACAACACAGCGGCCACCTCTTACCTTGCCATCTCCGCCTCCATCTCCTTCTTGACCTTCTCGTACATGCGGTCGGCAATCTCTTTGCGCATGGCCTGCCGTTCAGCCTCTTCACGCTCCCGATCGCGGACCGCCTGCCAATATTCTGCATAAAGGAGGGGTGGAGGAGTCCTTACAATTGAAACATGGCCAAAGACATTGAACTTTACCCATGCAAGTACTCATGTCGCAACAGCACATCCGCTCGTGCATACCCACGAAGCAGAAGCACCACTAGGAGTCCAGGCACTAGCTGCAAACGACAAAACGCGGCTTGGCAAGTTTCTTTTGGGGTGCCCTTTTTAGCCGATGAAAGAGAATTGCCAACACACCCAAATGCCCATGCGCATCGACAGCACTGCGCGCGTTTGCCTGTAAACTTCTTAGCTGAAACGCGACCCTACCGGCAATCTTGCGGTCCTCCGTGGCTGCTGCCTCGAGCTTCTTGCGCCGTAGCTCATCCTGCTGCGCCAAAAACACCTCAATGAAGTCTTTTGTCTCTTGCTGCCGCTGGCGTTTCAGCGCTAGCTCCGCAGCATCCTCCTCCATGATGCGCCGCACCACCTCATCAATCATGGTGCGCTCGCGGGCGGCCTCCTGCTCTGCGAGGCGAGCCAGATCCTGTACAGCAAAGCAGGGTGGGAACGTGGTTCAGCATTGGAATGACGTTGTCACGATTGGCCAAGTGAACAGTCTCTGCTAGGCAGCACGTATAGGATTACTATGCGACCATGAATGCAATCATCAGTGAGAATTGCTTGCTATCCAGTTTCGATATCCCTGGCGGTTCAAGATTGCCATTTGCGTATCCAGGCCATCTTACTGAGCTTGGTTACGTTTTAGGTTGGCAACAGAAGGGTTAGTACGACAACCGACGCGCCCCCCATACCCACGTTCCCAGTCTTATCATAAAGGCAATTCCATATGCGATACACGCGTACAGACCTGTCGCTCAGCCATTTGATCCTCCAGCATTAAGCGTGCTCGGACATTGGCCTCGCGCCGCTTCGCCTGGTTTTCTGCCTCCTGTACCTCTGCTTCCCGAGCCGCCTGGTTGACGTACAGGTTAATGGCGCGGTCGTACTCCTGCTGCTGCTCAGATAATACTTTCTTCTCCACTAGCTGGTCTGCGCGCTCCTTGTTTACCCTAGCCACGCGAATCTTTTCAGCAAGGCTGCGGGGTACGGTAAGCGGGAGCATAAGGAGGGTTAATGCTCTTCAAAACCTTACATGACATGCGGGCGATCGACAGGGCCAGTAGAACTCCATCCAAACAGTTGTCGTAGACATGTGATCACAACGTCCACGGGAAGCAGAGCGACCCTGGGACAACTGAGAACACAGGGTTAACCCCAGCTTCCCTCCAACACCCCATGCCCCATGTAACCCAGCAACACCTTCGCAGCTCCTCGCTTTGCTCACGCAGCCGCTGGATTTCCTTGTCTTGCCGTTCCTTATCTTGCTGCTTCCTCGCCATCGCCACCGCAATCTTCTCCTCCTCGTCAGCCCGGATGGCGTTCAATGTCTTCTGCCGCTCGTTCTACGTGCAGTTCAAAACGAGCATACAGTCAGCGCCGTGCTCACAAAAGGCGTGTTCGTTAAGGGGGAATGTCTACGCAACACCCACGGCACCTGGTAAAGCGTCTCGAGCATCTTGGCCTCCGCGTCGCGCTCCTTAAATTCGCGGCCCTTTCGCTTGAAGTCATCCTTTAAGGAGTTTGTCGCTATCACGTCGAACTTTTTTTGGTCTTGGAAATACCTGCGTCGTTATCGGGTGTAAGGACGAATAAAGCAGATGTAAACATGCAAATGCGTGAGGCATACCTGCTTATTTCCGCTTTTGCAGCCTCAGCAATACGGCGTGCAGCTTCACGTTGCTCAACAGCTGCGGTTGTTGCTCGAAACCATAAGGGAAAGAAGGCATGGAAAAGATGTAAGGCAAACGCAGCTCCGCCTGAAGAGCGTACCTTGCGAAAGATGTCCTCGTTTAGGAGCTCGGGCATCGCTATCGTGACAAGTGCAATCACATGCGGGCATTTTTGCCTGACCCGATATCGGATCGCCTTAACGGGGGCACCCCTCGACCACCAGCTAACCTACTGAACAATAGGTAAGATTCTTTCAAAAGTTGCACTACTTTCTTTAAAGGACGGGTGAGAATGGCAATACACCGCTCCGCGGAACCGCCTGTGTGCTTTGTATAGAAGGCTGTACAAGCCAGTAGTAAGCGCATGCATATAGTTGCACCAAAATGTATTTATTAGACCACTAAGCTCGGCCTCACGGCGATCCCGTTAGTGAACGCGCAACCTTATAGTACGATGGATCCGGGAGAATGGATCACGGACACAGGTAACCGTTGCCAATATGCGTGCTTATGCTCAGTAGGCACAAAAGCGAAGGCAATAAGTCATTGCCGCTCACTGTTGCATATAAATATACTTTAAGGCTTTGGCGTTTTGAAAATGGCTGTCACCGACTTGGGAACCTATCCCTGACATCCTAAATTATCATAAAGGACCGGCGTACATATACCAGATTGGTCATGGTGAATCGAAGAAGCGAGAGCTGTCCGCGTCTGTTGCGGAAGGTGTCTGCTCCAACGGTAAGGAGCTGGGAATACTCCATTTGCACCAACTTCCAATACAACTGCTACCCTGGGAAACAGGAGTAGTGCTTTGATGACGCGAACTGGGATGTATGCAGGCCGAAGTCGTTCTGCCGCAGCAGAGGACCTGCACCTTGCAGGATTTAGGGCCCGAGGATAAGCAAAAAGTTGCGAAACTCCTCAAACAGGTAACGTAATTTGTTCATGCATGTAACAGCTTACGAGGATACAACCAGAGCCCGCCCCCTCCCACACCCCGCAGGTGGTGGACCTTGGACAGGAAGTGCAGCAACTAAGGCAGCAGCGAGATGAGGCAAGCAATGTTCGGGTAGTAAGGGGAATTAGTTAACTAACAAGGATGCGATTCGGTGGCGGCTATCCACGCTTGACACACAGAAGACCGGGCGTGCTTAGGGTGAAGGCGAAAAGTGCATTAGGCCGGCATGCATTGTGTCCAATTAACCATGCATGCCATGGTAGTCTCGTAGAGTCGTAGTAAGTTGCACGTATGTTGCCCTCCTCTCAATGCTCCAGCAAGCCAGGCTCTTTGCTGAGCGTGAACAGGAACTGCAAGAGGGCAACCGGCAACTCCACAAGGAATATCAGTCGTAAGTCGGCTGGGTGTGCTTTCTCAGGTTCTCAGCTTAGGCGTTCTGCGGTGCATGCAGGCTAAAAAGGAAACTCGGTCAAGTGCTGCTCGTGCTCCGCGCCTCTCAAGCTAAGGTCAGTTGCCGAACACTATCGTTCAAAGGCGGTTACATCGCATAAGGCTCGATGCGGGTTTGCCCCCGATTCTGGGCCTGATTTATATTAGCTTCGATGCAGGTCAATGCCTTGGAAGCAGCAAACCATTCAACGCGGACCGCTTCTGTCGGTGTGCAAACGGAGCTTGTTGCAGCCCCGGAGGAGCTGCAAGCAGCAACGAACGGCCAAGTAGCAAACTCCGCTGCCGTTGCCCAAATGCAGGCCGCCGCCAACGCTGCTCCGTTCAACTCGGAGAGCAGTGCCGCAATGACTTTAGCATCAGCCACGGACCGTACAGTCTTCTCATCATCTCCGAGCGTCCCCTCCCTTCTCCACGTGGCGCCCGGCGCGCACATTTGTATTACTATCAACCATGTCCCTGAGCCTGCTTCAACGGCAGCGGCACCCACCGCGACGGAGGCAGTGGACGCAGAAACGCCGGCGGCAGTGGAGAAGCCAGCAGCCCTAGGTTCGTCGCTCGAGCTTTCAGGTTCGGCAGGTCGCCGCAGCTTTTCGAGTGTTCGCCCTGCAGCGGCCTGCACCAACCTTCCTACAGCAGCGATTGAAAGTCCTACGCTTGGCGCAGCGTCCGCGATCCCCACCACTCTTTTGGCCGCCGCCATCAATGCAGTCGCTGCCTCCAGTTACGAGACCCACCGCTTGGCTGGTGAACCTGCTGATGGCGCTTGTGTCCCGTCAGCTTCCCACCCCTGCATGGCGAGCCAGCCAGCCCATGCTGGAGTGGGAGCCTGCTCAGCTTCATGCCTAACCGGCGGCGCTGCGCTTCCAACGGGAGCTCCCGTCGGGGTGCCAGGAGCCCCTGTACACCCGGGGCCGAGCCATGCGTCGCGTGCATCGGGTTCAACGGCGCCACAGGCGGTGGGCAGACCCTCAGGTGGACGCAGCATCCTCGTGGACGCCACTTTGCAGCAGTTTGAATCGGTGCCTGTTCAAGATGTAAGTCCATGGCAGCGTGTCCCTATAACTAACGGCTAGGACAGCCCAAAAGGCCTAGACAGCGTCCGCAAGGACTATGCCGTTGCCGTTCCATTGCATCCTATGTAACGTTTTCTTTAGTAAGTTGAGCCATGGGTTGCCAGGTAACCGGCCGTGATGCTGATGGTGTTTCCGCAGTGCCGTGTACGTGGCGTGCTCTTACACCGTTGCCATGCGTCCCACGCCCCGCGCCAAAAGCGCACAGGTGTTCGTCAGCAGCCAGGAGGTTTCAGTAGCTTCGCCGATGATTGTACCCCCAAGCGACGCGGTGGTGGCAGCTGCATCTAGCTTACTCGGCTGGCAAGCACAACATGGGTTTATGGCGCCGGAGGACGCTGTCGACATGCAGTCCGTATCATCCTTAGCTTGTCCCGGAGGTGCAGTGGACCGACGCCCGCGCGGGAAGGTTCTTAGCTATGACCCCGCCATTGGGAAAAGTGGCGCGTTTTACTTCGTTGATGTGGCCGAGGTTGCTCCAGACTTCCCCGGAGCATCGGAAGCAACGGCAGGGAAGGAGGTTCCGAGCGCGCCTTACTCTGCATCGCGCAGAGATGCCTCGCAGTGGCAGCGTTCAGCCACTGCTTCGGAGAACCGGGTGCCGGCAGAAATCTGTGCTCCGCAGGCATCGGCAGTAGGGCGGCAGCGACCTATCCCTGCAGCTCTATCGCTGGACTCACAACGGAGGATGCAGCTGCCCGGGGTTACAGCTTGCCAAGGGATTGTCCATCCCACCAGCGCTAGTGGGCCGCTCAGCTTGGGACGCCTTAAGGAAGTACTAAACTCCCCGGCGGCAACCCAGACTGCTCCGCAGGGTTTGGGGCGCTGTCTGCAGCCAGACCAGCAGCAATTGGAACAGTCGCCGCGCAGCCCATGCAGTTCCACAGCAACAGGTAGCACTATGGGCCCCGCTCGCCAGCTAAACGCTGCCGTCATGGCTGCGGCACGTGCCTATGACTGCACCGACACGCCCTCCAGTTGTGATACCAACTTGTCACGAGTGGCGACGATGCTAGATGAGGAGGCGCGTCGCCGGCGATGGGACATGCAGCCCCCTCCAGGCGCGCAACAGCAGCAGGCGGGTCCGGTGCAGTCATTAGGAGCAATGCGGGTGCAGCAGCATAACCCGGACGGGCTGCAGGAGGCCACCAGCAACTGCCGGGCGAAAACAGGTGTGCAGACAGCTGTCATGGAATGGGTGTATTGGTCTAGCTCGCAGTACGCTTGCTTTTTAGGCAGGTTCAACAATGTCAGCGGTCATTGCGCAATCCCTCCCCTGCGACAGGTGGGGGCAACTTACATGCAAGCTCGCGGTCTCGACGCGGCTTGCAAGCCTCGGACTCGCGGCAGAGCGCCACCGGTAACGCATGGTGTGCAGCTGGGCCGGCCCCCGGCGGAGGACCCATGGCGCCTCTACATACATCTGCTGGCAGCGCCTCACTTGCCTTCCCCAAAGGCAAAGATGTCACGGATCGTTACGATGACTCGCTGGTGGACATCTTGTCTCAGGTATGGCATGGAAGACTATATGAGGTTTTCAATCCATTGCGCTCGCATACTTGCTTGGCCCAAAGCTTCTCAATTTTGGTAATTGATTACTACTCTTACAAATGAGTACCCACATGCGCTATTCGTTGCTGTCGTTTGCAAAACTATCTAGGCGGACGAGGAGCTGGAGCAGCAACACTATCGGAAGCAACAGCAAAGTGCTTGGCCGCAGCCTTCACACCTGTCGCCAGCCGTGGCAGTGGATAAAACGAGCAATGGTGTCATGCGGCATCGGTCTGCAGCAGCGCCTGCCACGGCGTCTGAGGGAAGCGCTCTAGCAAGGAATCGGGTGAGTCGTTGCAAATCTGAAGACATCTTGGATAGTTCGAAAGGTAATGTGACTACTCGGATAGGACGGGTTCCAGCTTGTGTCCTCCCTCCCTTACCACTGACTACGTGCTGAAACCGTCCGAACTTTTCCCACTGACACGGACAGGGCGGCACGGTTGAAGAGCTGCTGTCATCAAATTTGTACGAGGAAAATGACGTGCTAAGTGTGATCTTGGAGCAGGAATGCCACAACTGAGGGTGCCGAACGACGACGCGGCAGTTACAAACCATTTCTGGAGCTATACGACAGAGCTTAACGGTGTCCTGAATATCTATTTGCAAAGGACATTATAAAATATGTCGCAATATGAAGGTATTGCGTTTATACGCTTGGCAAGGTGGCTGCAAAGCCAACCGACATGGACTACGGCCTAGCTACCTCCTGTACACCGGTCTCGAACTTATGTATGCAACGCGCTGTCTTAAACACCAGCATATTGTGGCTTATTGCTCCGGGCTGCCCGCTTGTTAAGCTGCCCTTCGGGCCAGGATAACCGTAGACTGCATTTCCTTTGTTTTCGCGGTTCCTGAACTTTGCCTGGTTGTAATGCAACCGCGCTTACGTATGTCAAGTGCTGTAATTGACCGGTGGCGTGACCCAGGACCTTCACTTACGACCCGAACTGCATAGTTGTAAATGTACCTACACGCTTAGAGGTGTCTAACTGTTAGCACGTTTGCGTCACGTTCACCAAGATACCTGGAAATACTGAATTGTCGCAGTTCTCATACTTCAGCCTGTTACTGTCATTTCGGTACCCAGTGCCGCCTTCAGGTGAAGCTATACCCATATCCTTTATGTGCGGATACATTTCTAGAGTTAGCAATGTGAGTCTAGGCGGAAGTTCGGTAGAATGACGTCCATAGGCTTTCATGCAGGGGCTCATCATGGACATTGTAACGTCAGGATGCGTGTCGGCAAGTTCCCATCCTATTGACCTAAGGCAAGGTCCTGTTGTTTACTTGCCTTCATCACCAATCCTTCGGCTTGACGTCTTTACTCGCTGGACAGGAACTTGGGCTCGCTTGTGCATACAGCGGAAATGCAGCACCAGCGGCAAGTAAAGACGCTGCAGGCGGTAAGCACATGTCCGAGCCTCAATGTAGAACGTTGGGTAGTGGGCTCGCATCGAGCAAATTCACCCACAGGATGTTGCCACCCGGACCCCTCGAGGGTCATTAGCCGCTAAGGGCACTCCGGTCATCGGGGTCGTGGACCTGCGTGTGCGCCTGGGAATGCACGGGTATAATTCCTATTACTGATTCGCATGAGGCACGCCTCATCGGAGGGGAAACGTTACGCTGACGCTTAAGAAGCATGCCCGAGAATACGTCGGCGACCTTTCAAACGCTTCTTTCCCGTTCACATGCTCTCTGCGACCGCCGGTGTTACCCCTAGCTTCATAAGCAGGCGGAGCTAACTGCGGAGGCGAACGCAGCATGGCGAGAAAGCGAGCGGCGCCGTGAGGAAAAATACATGCACATTGACCAGGGGCGACAGCTGCAGCGGGAAGCCGCAGTGGAGAACAATCAACGGGTAAGATTCGGCCCTGCTATGAACTCTTGATGCCTGGGGGTTAAGGACGCCCTGGCATGCCCTGGTTTCTTTTGTGCGTCAGATCAAACTGCTATAATCGGTACGGCAAGTCACTAGAACCTGGTAATATGCCATCGCAGCCTATTGAACCACATCCAACACGTCCCTGAATCCTGAGGGCCTTTTGAGCATGCTTTGGGTGTGAAACCAACTTCAGCTAGGGGCTGTGCTGTGCGACTTTGCACTGTCTGTGTCCACGGCCAGCAGCGTCAAAGGATCCTGCCACGGTGGCAAGCTGTACCCGAATGCAAACCCATGGTTATTGACCGCTACCATTGCGTCCCTAGAGCCTCTCATATGGCTGTCTCAGCTCCCCATACCCCATCCTGGCGCACAGTTAGCCGAGGCGCGCGCTGCACGGTTGGAGGCAGCTGCACGGCATGAGGAAGCTGTACGTGCCGCTGCCAAAGCCAAGGTCCAGGCCGACGAGGAACGCATGGTGAGTGGACATGGAGGCTGAGGCGGGGGCCACAACGATAGACGTGCAAGAATGCCATGCTAGCATGAAGCCTGACGGCCTAAGTCGAATCTGAGGCCTTTCCATGCTTACCTTGACATTGCTGACCTTCCGGAACCTACCATCGTCTTCCATTCAAGCAACCCCACATGGAGGTTATATCACAGACCCACATCATTTTGGGACGCAGGCGCGCTTTGAAGCCGAAAAGGCAGATAATGCTGCCGCGGAGCGGCAGCGCATTGCGGCAGTGGAGGCGAAGCGCGGTGCTACGTACCGGCAGAACGTGGAGATGATGGAAGCTCGGCGGCAGGCATTGTTGGCTCGAGAGCGTAGAGCGGAAGACATCCTACGCCAGCGAGAGGAGGTGAGCATTAGCGGACCAACGACAAACGCAACAACTTTTACAATCAGAGTCCTGTGTCAGCAAGATGTACAAGGGGAGGGGCTCCGCATGTACGGTAACAGTGAGGAGGGACAGCGTCGTTTTCCTTGCAAGGGTAGTAAAGAGGGCGGCCGGGCATTCCTTCCTTTTACCCTTGTCAGCTCCGCTGCACGTATACCACGCCCTTTCCCCTTGCCTTCGTACGCCTGCATCCCTGCCATCTCTACGAAGCTTAATTGCTTTGTAGCCTGAATGTTTAAACCTTTGGTCAACAACCTCCGCCAAACCACTGCATGCGGTATTATCGCTCCTTTCTGTACATGTACACACATCTCCGGCTGTCAGCCACTACCGTCCTCTTGCCTACCGAACCACTGGCATGACCCCTAACCCCACACCTTTCCGCTTTGTCAGTTGCGGCGACTGCAGCAGCAAATTAAGGCGGAGGAGGACTTTCTGCGGGAGGACCAGCGCCGTGCGATCAAGGCGCGCGCGGATGCCGAGCTGGCAGACCGCGTGGCACACTTCCACGCAAAGAACGCCGCCAAGGACGAAAACGCCTCGCGCAGGCGACAGGCGAGTCCCTTCTCACCCTCTTCATGGGCCCTTCAGTGGCGCCATGGCTTATGGGTTAGCGGTTGCGTAGGGTTCAGCGTGCCACAATGCCGTCCTCAAATGCGCCCGTGGCATAGGGTCTCAGCGCTAGCATGATCATAGTGGTGGCGGTTATCATCGTCACGCTTGCCATGACGGGTACTGGCTTGCATCGCTGCTGCGAACAGCACGCTGCACGCTCACACATTGCTCATTGGCTGTAAACCTTTCTGGTACACCCTACCTCATACTTACTGTACGAGATGTCGGCAATGCGGCCCATGCACCCTGCAGGCGCTGGAGGCCCTCCGCCGCGCTCGTGCCGAGGAGCTGCGGCAGCGCTTCGAGTACATCGCAGCGCAGGCCAATGAGGCGGCGGCGGTGGCGGAGGCCGAGCGGCAGGCCCTGGCGGGGCGGCTGGAAGACAAGGAGGCGCGAGGGGCGGCGCTGGAGGCGCACCGGGCCGCGTTGCTGGCGGAGATGCAGAACCTTCGACAGCAGATGCAACACCAGGTGGGAAGCGGGGATGTTTGGAGGGCGTTCAGGGGCCCGGTGTGGAACTAGCGCTGAGCCTCATTGTGATCGACAGTTAGTGGTTGCCGGGGGGTTGTGGTGAGCGTTACGGTGCCAACCTGCACCTTCGCTAGGCGCAACGCGTAATTTGCACCGAAGCCATCACTGCATCCTCTCCATAACCACCACAACCAGCCCCTACCTTCTCCTCGCCTCCCTCCTGTTCACTACCGAGAGCAGGAGGAGGTCATCCGCGGCTCTCTAGTGCGCATGCGGCAGCAGGGCAGTGTGGCGCTGCCGGAGGAGGTGGTGCATTCGCTAGACAAACTGCACTTGGGCGGACCTGTCAGTGCAACTGCAATGTTGGGCGGCGGCGGTGGGGCCATGGGGGCAGGCGGCCACTCCGTGGGCCTGCTGGAGGGGCCGCCGACCCTGCAGGCGGGTATGGGTGCGGCAGCGCCGCCTGGTATGCCGCGTCGGGTGGGAGCAGGAGCGGCAGCAGCGGGCGTACGGAGACCCAGATCGGCCGCGACCACGCCACGAGGTGCCAGGTAGGAGGCAGGAAGTACGGTAGGAAGGCCAGGGCGGACACGATTCCTACTTGAGCCTAACAGAATGGAAGGACATACATGGCTGACGGAACAAGGTTAGGAATAAGGTTGCATGCCACTGGATAAAGTACCGCACTGTGGCCCTGGATTCCTGCAGGATGTCGAGCCGGGTTGACGAGAGCTACAACAGCAGTCCGCGCGCCTATGTGATGGCACCAATCAGTCCGAGGGTGGGGCAGCCGGCGAAGGCGCGTCGCATGGCGGCTGGGACGCGGCCCATGAGTGCCAGCATAGGTGCGTAAGCCGTTGCGGATGCGCCGCAGCGCGAGGGAGAGAGATTAAGTGCAGACGTCTGCGGTGTTGGCGAGGCACGGCTAAGGGCTAGCATGTCTTGCCGCTGCGGCCGTCCCGTTCTTTGGTGTGTTTGGGTCGCATTTACCTGGCCGTGTAAGCGGGAATCGCGTAGGGCCACTGGCTGCCTGCCGCTAGTGGACGCTGGTGTGCCAATCCCAGTACCATTAACACTGCCATAGCTGGCAAAGCCCTTCTTCAGGCCATGCCCTGTTCGCTATCCCACGCTACCTCTTCCCTCCTCCCACTCCCTTACCGCAGACCTCCGCGGCAGCGCCACCTTCAGCCTCGCAGCCTCTCCCCGCAGCCCCGCCCATCCAGCCAGCGCCTCCGCCGCCGGCAGCCCCAGGCCCCGTAGCCCCCATGTGGCCCACGCCTCCTCGCCCGCCTCTCACCCTCCCCGCAACCGCCCCAACCCCACCAGCCTTGAGGAGCAGTTGGCTGCAGCCACGGACACCTCAGAGGTGGCGGCGGAGGCGGCGGCCAGCGGGCGCTACAGCGGGGTGCATGAGGTTGCTCGCCCCGGCAGCCGGAGGGAAGAGGAGCTGCGCGGGGTGCTGCAGGAGGAGATCGCCAAGGAGAGCGGGCGGCAGGCGCTGCTGGCCAAGGTAAGAAGCGGTGGCAGCGGGTTATGGGGCTCAATTGGGGAACGGAAGGGTGGAAATGGTATATGGTAATGGGCAGGGTGTGTAGGCAGGGCTACTGGTACGTCCAAGGGGCTCTGTCGTGCCGTGTCGGTAATAAAGGGGCAGAAAGGTGCGAGCGAGCTCGACCCGTTGGATAGCCATGCCTTGGCCATTGCCGATTCCCGTGCCCCCTCCTGCCAGGTTACCGACGAAGCGGAACGCGCCCGCTTGGTGAAGTACTTTACCCTGGAGCGTGAGGAAGCGAAGCGGCGCATCCTCGCGCTGAGCAATGCCGCGCAAGCTGCCTTGTATCACTGACCTTGCGCGGACGCTAGCACAACTACGGACCTATTTTGTCGCGATGTCGCCTTCCTATGTGGAGTGCGGACCGGGCATGCTCATGCAAAAATCTTAAATTGGGAGTCGTTGGGGGCTACCATTTGTTGGGTCCTCTGTACACAGTGTCAGGGGTTTGTGTATTTTACGGTTCTCTCCAATTTACGTGAATCTTCTCTAGTTTACAGCATGTGTCATATGCTGAAAAGCAGTGAATATTATTGGTATGCAGGGAAGCCTGATGCCCTTGGCGGCTCGATATGTCGTGCGCTGTGATGTCATGGCATCTTTTGCCCAAGCAGGCAATTCATGTTTGTAATCTGTGTGGGTTTTTGTGCCCGCTACCTTGCATGGGTATTACCCGTTGAAAACGTTGTGCTGGGTTACCCTCTTGAACGCATGCATGCCTCAGTAGTACCTTGATTGGGGTTGGATATGGAGTTGTATGATGCCAACTGTATTGTGTGTCGTTTCCCTACTGGATGGACGACTTGACAGCTGTTTGCAGTTGGTAAGCTACGTCTTGACGCGTGGTGCAGTTGGTAAGCTACGTCTTGACGCGTGGTGGGGAGAAGAAGAATACCCAATGTGTTGAATGAGAGGGAATGCGTGGTGGGGAGGGAAGCTATTCCGTAAAGGGTTGTGTGCCCAAGTACGGCCCATCCACAGGCGCATCGCTCCACATACGCTTACGCATGTGCGGGCTTGCATATTGTAGGGGTGCGATGGAGCTGAAGCTGCGTCAAAAATGACAGAGAAGGAACGTCACGTGTAACCTGACATTCGGATCTAGACGATTAACTCTGCCCTCCTCTGCTTCGCATTGTTTAGCGTATGTGTAACTGATCGGGACGCGGCGCCTGCGGGGTGTGAAGACCCTTGGTTCCAACCCACGGCAGATGGCAAAACAGCGTTAATTACTTTTCATGATTGTATCTTCTAATATAAATTATTGTACTATGTATCAGCAGTGGGCCCTAAGGTGGAAAGTTCGGGGCAAAGATCGTACTTACGTCTGTCTCCGTCTATCGTCTACCGCAGGCACTTCTTCTCGAAAGCACAAACTGAGTTCTCCTACTCGTTATAGGTCCCGAACACTGGTCTTATTAGGCTCACACTGCTATCCCAGAACAATTGCCATTGTTGCTTTGCTAACACTTCTCACTTTCCTGGGCACCTCTCCTTAGGTAGACGGATCTTTACAATAGTTGCGCCCCTTGCGGGGCATTTGTTGAACAATGGTGCCACAGCTTTTCTGAGTATCAGCAAAAAGCCAAGAAAGACAAAGCAGCCCAGGCGGGAAGGGCCGCCCGCCGGTAGAGGCGGCTCCGGCCATGGCGGACGATCTGTATGATGAGTTTGGCAACTATATAGGTCCTGCTCTGGAGGACAGCGAGGTCGGTCCTCCTAGATCGCCGCCGTCCTCTCGCAAGGGTGTTATCCATCTAATTACTTAGCAATTACCATGACACGCGGTATACCTAACAGGAGGAGGAGGATGAGCAGCACCTGCAACACGATTTCGGGGACGACGAGGGCGCCGACGATGAAGACGCTCGGCACCGCGATGTCGATGCCATGCAGGAGGGTAAGCGAGTTTACTTGTTATTCCTATGTTTGGCTTCGGTGCTTCTTTCCGCCGAGCGTCCGTTCTATAAAGCATTTCAGCCGCCCAACAAGGATTGATACTGGCTGGGTGGGCACGTAACTCTAAATTTATTTATGCGTGACGTAGAAATGCATGCAAGGAACTGTTTACATGTTAGAGAGAGTTTGCACCTTGCGCTGCAGATGAGGATCCAGGAGATGGGGGTATGGCAGTGGTCTTGCACGAGGACAAAAAGTACTACCCCTCAGCTGAGGAGATTTACGGACCTGAGGTGGAGACGCTAGTCATGGAGGAGGATGCACAGCCGCTGGAAGTACCCATCGTTGCTCCTGTAAAGGTTAAGAAGTTTGAGACGTTAGAGGCGGAGCCATTGCGGACACACTACAGCAATGAGTTCCTTGCCACACTGATGGCAAACCCGGAGCTTGTGCGTAACGTAGCAGTCGTGGGGCATCTGCACCACGGCAAAACCACCATTATGGACATGTTTGTCGAGCAGGTAGGCGGAACGACGTGCAAAAGCCCCCGTGTAGCCTGAAGTTGTAGTGTTTAGTACGTATTCCCTTTCACTTCCACAATAGGTTCGCACCAACTGCCCCATTTTTAACCTTCGCGACCGTTTTCGGTGTCCCACGGGTCCGACGCTACAGCGTGCATGTATGCCAGCTTGCCCCAATCCCAAGTCTCCGGCTCCATGACGCAATAGAAGTCCTGCCATGGGTGCAAAGCACATTCCGTGTCATGCCCGTGGTTATGCGCCCGCAACGATATGAAGACCCTGCCTCACCCTTCCATGCATCTTCCCACAGACCCACGAGCTGAAGAAGCTAACGGCGGCACAGGAGGCCGCCGGCAAGCAGCTGCGCTTCACGGACACCCGGTTGGACGAGCAGGCGCGCGCCATGAGCATCAAGATGATGCCCATGTCGCTGGTCATGGAGGGGCAAAGCGGAAAGTCCTACCTGCTCAACCTGCTGGACTGCCCCGGCCACGTCAACTTCAATGATGAGGTCAGCAGCTTGGGTTTCCGGCTGTGTGGGTGTCCGCAGGCTGTAATGAAGGGGCCTCCAACGGCTGGCTGCAGCAGCAGGAGCATGAGGCGGGGTTGCTGTAGGGCGGACAGGCTGTTATGCCCTAGACGGAAAAATGTTTGTTCAGGAACTGACGGCGCTCGATCTGGCAAGGCGTTTCATTCTGTTCCAGGATGCTCTAGGGGTAACGTACACGTTGCCAAAGTCGCATGTGGGGCAGATAGCAGTCCGAGACATTACTGACCCGCATCACGGCATGTCTACCACGTGCAGTTCGCTAGTAGTTGTTCTTAACATGCTTTCCGACATGCTTTCCGCATCCGCGTAGGTGACGGCGGCCATGCGGTTGGCTGACGGCGTGCTGCTGGTGGTGGACGCGGCGGAGGGCATCATGGTGGTGACGGAGCGGGCGGTACGGCAGGCGCTCCAGGAGGGCCTTACCATCACGCTCTTGATCAGCAAGGTGGGGTTGTGAAGAGGGGCTGCAACGCTGCATGGGGTGTGGGTGTTGGGGGCGCATGTGTGTCCCTGAAGCTTAGATTTTATGGCTAGGCATCATGCGAATTGACGGTGCGCAAGAGGGACGTGTGTACGGCAGAGCTGCTAAGAACACTGGGTGCCCTAGCGCGTCTTGGGCCTTCCATGCTGAGCGCACTTGCTCGCGGGTCACGTATCACGTGTCGCGACCAGTTTTCTTATATCACGTGTCGAAACGGACAGTTCTATAGACGGCCATAGAGGCACTACACTCGCTGGCTCGGGAACTGCGCCGTAAAGCACACCACCGTCCTGTAGTATTGGCTCGGCCGCCGGCAACATCATCGGGGCCGTTGCTTTTCGCACCATACCACACGCGTAAAAGTCCCAGCTTTACAATCATCATGCGTCGTCTATCCTGGCTGTCCTGGCGAAGGTGTGCACACCCTTGAACACTTTTGTTTTCTATCAATACGTCAACTCGTTCTCAACTTGCGGCTGCTGCTTGTGGTTGTATGCTCCGGTCAGGTGGACCGCCTCATCACGGAGCTCAAGCTGCCTCCCGCGGACGCCTACCACAAGCTGCGGCACACGGTCGAGGAGGTCAACAATCTCATTGCGGCCTGCTGCGGTGGGTGTGGGATGCTGCCAGACACCTTGCTAGCCATATACACGGATTCGCTCTCCTCAATCGGGGAGACCTTGGCATGCGGCATGCTGCATGACACCATGCGAAGCGCTGGCTCTGATTCCCTCACCTCTTTGTGCCTGCTCGGGCTGCTCCTTTCCCCTTTTGTCCTGCCCTCACTTGTGGTGTGGTACGTCTTTGTCCCCCCAGGCGGCGTAGTTCCTCCCGAGCAGCTCTTGGACCCCGTGCGCGGCAACGTGGCCTTCTGCGCGGCCGCCTCGGGGTGGTCCTTCACGCTGCAGTCCTTTGCGCGGCTCTACGCGGACATCTACGGCGCCGGCTTTGACCCTCGGTAGGTGTCTTGAGGATGTGGCGGGTGTGGGACTGGTGTGGGGCTGGTGTGAGAGCGGATGTGGGGTTGGTGGCAAGGGTTGCGGCAGTGAATAGTACGCATGCAGCAGGACCCAGAAGAGCATAATGGTCCTTATTCCAGATAGCGGCACTCCGCACCATTGTGCTCTGCAGCGCGAGGGCGGCGTGGCAATCGTGTTCTCGTGCGTGCGGGGGGCCGCCATAGGGAAACCCAGTCCCGACATTCTGACACGGCATGCGCTCTACCGCGGCACGTGTATTTCACCGCGGGACACACCACCCAAGTAAGCCGCATGGACTTATCATACGCCACACAGATCCACTCAAATCGCAATGTTGCACCCACCCAGTGCTCTTCCTAGCGTGCGGCGGAGTAAGGGAAGATTAGTTTCGGACTAAGCACCCTCCCTTGCCTCTGTGCAAAGGCTTGTGATAACAGCTCATCCACACACTGATACGGTGCTGCATGCAGCGCAGACGTTTGCGTTGCATTGCGGGGTGGGGTTGACCTCTTCACCTTGCTGCTTTCGTTGCACCGTGAGAGTGAACCTAGTTCCGACATCTAAACACGGTTGGCGCCTAACCGCCACTGTGTATTTCACCGCGGAACACACTTGTTACCTTAGCCGCATGCAGCGGGGCTGTGGGTTGGAAGTGGAAAAACTAGTATCATGGCTTGAAATGCTGTCACTGTAGCCATGTTATCTGCAAGCTTACGTGGCGCCCTGTACAGCTTTGTTTATCCAGCGCGAGGGCTGCGTTGCAACCGCATCTTTGCGCGTGTGGGGGGCCGCCACAGGGAAACCAGTCCCGACATTCTGACACGGCTGGCGCTTTACCGCGGCACGTGTATTTCACCGCGGGACACACCACCCAGACACCATCTTCATCTTACCTTTTTCCAGTTATATGCATGTCGGCATGCTTCCGCTACATGAGCTGAGCTCATTCCCCTCTCCAAATGCCAGCGCCCCGCACCTCAGCCACACCCTACTCCCGTAGCTTACCGACCCCATACCCCCGCCTCCTACCCCCGCCTCACGCAGGGAGTTTGCGAAGCGGCTGTGGGGTGACCTCTACTTCCACCCCGAGGAGCGCGTCTTCCGCCGCACTCCGCCTCGCGCGGGCGGCGGCAGCGGCACCGAGCGCAGCTTCGTGCAGTTCGTGTTGGAGCCGCTGTACAAGATGTACAGCACGGTGATCGGGGAGCACCCCAAGACGGTGGAGGCCATGCTGGCGGGGCTGGGCGTGTTCCTGCGCACCGCCACGTACAACCTGGACACCAAGCCGCTGCTGAAGCAGGTGCGGGGGTGGGGGTGATGGAAAGGTAAAGGAGTGTTGATGGTGGGGTTTAGGGCCTGTTTAGCCCTTTGGAGAGCGCAGGTGCACTTGCTGCGTTTTAGGGTGTGCCGCTGGATGCCGAATGGCCCTTGCTTTTGCCGAATGGCCCTTGTGCCTTTCGTGCACCGGCAATACAAGTGAAGCTCTCTCCCTAATCAAAACCCAATCACATAAACCGAAGTCAAGCCAGCGCCCAGAGCACTCAACTCCTCCCACCTGGCTATACCATTGTAGGTGTGCACCAGCGTGCTGGGCTCCTGCTCGGGAGTGGTAGACATGCTGGTGCAGCACGTGCCCTCCAGCCGCAAGGCCACCGCAGACAAGGTGGCGGCGCACTACAGCGGCCCCTCGGACGCACCCGCCGTGTCCTTCATGGCTGCATGCAACCCGCGCGGGCCGCTGGTGGTGGCAGTGGCCAAGCTCTTCCCGCGTCAGGACTGCTCGCGGTTCGATGCGCTTGGGCGCATCATGAGCGGGACCATACGCCCCGGGGACCAGGTCAAGGTAAGGGGCGGGACGGCGATGTGTTTGGTTACGAGGTTACGCAGGAGCAGTGCGGCTTGTTGCGACAACAAGCGGTACAGGTACAGGTCGCATGCTCGCATTGCTGCTCCTCGCATGGTCACCTCCTCACCTCTTCGCCTCTTGGAAACCCGACCTCAGGTGCTGGGCGAGGCTTACACGCCCGAGGACGAGGAGGACAGCTCCGTCGCCACGGTGGGCAGCGTGTGGGTCTACCAGGCGCGCTACCGGGTACCGGTGGCTCGCGCCGCGGCCGGCAACCTGGTGCTGATTGAGGGGGTGGACGCCACCATCACGCGCACCGCCACGCTGGTAGCGGACGCGTACGATGAGCCGGTGCACATCTTCAGGTAGGGTTGGGCGCTGTGTGTGGGCCGGCGGTGCATGAGAGCAATTGACGGGTAACGGGCGATCAGGAGCACCGGCTTTGTGTGGAGAGACATGCTACCCACTCCTGTCCTAGACGCTCGCTCTGCGTAAGTAGCCTGGGAACGGAGGCTCATCATGGTGCCTGAACCTGGGACAGATTGCCGTACTGCATACATGGTTTTCACTTGCTGCCGGCTCCCTTGTGCTGCCTCCCTGCGGGCCCCAGGCCGCTGCGCTTCCAGACGCGGAGTACCGTCAAGATCGCCGCGGAGCCGCTGAACCCCTCGGAGCTGCCCAAGATGGTGGAGGGGCTGCGCAAGGTACGAGCGGCTCGAGGGGGCGCACATTGCAACTGCAGCACACCACAGCGCACCCGCGCTCGTTAGCACCCGCACTGCTCATTTTCATGGCCTTGGTAGCATCCTAAACCATCCGCGACCTGTAGATATCATTGTCTCCGTCCATTAGCTTTGGCGCCGAAGGTACCGATGTAACCGTACTTGACGGCGTCTTGTTGTTTTGCATGTTCTTCCTCGTGCAGGTTTCCAAGTCCTATCCGCTGTGCAGTACCCGGGTGGAGGAGAGCGGCGAGCACACCATCTTCGGCACCGGCGAAATGTACCTGGACTGCCTCATGAAGGACCTGCGGGAGCTCTATGCGGGTAGGCGTGAGCCACCACCACCACCACACACACCTACGCATATCCCAACTGCTTGCTCTTGTCCTACTCAACTACACACACCTACGCATGCACTGTGGGGAAGATCGTATATGGCGTCGGTGCTCGTTGCTTGCAATCCTATGCCTCTGCTGCAATATGCATAACATCGAAACCTTGGGTTCATCACCTGGAGCATACCGCTGATGGCTATATACCTTCTCCTGCACGCGTGTGCTTCTCCAATTGCTGTCACAGAGGTGGAGGTCAAGGTGGCTGACCCCGTGGTGGCGTTCTGCGAGACGGTGGTGGAGAGCAGCTCGCTCAAGTGTTTTGCGGAGACGCCCAACAAGCGCAACAAGATCACCATGATTGCGGAGCCGCTGGACAAGGGGCTGGCGGAGGACATCGAGGCAGGCAACGTGCGGCTGGAGATGGGGCGCAAGCAGCTCACGGTGAGGGAGGGGCCCTTGCGTTGCGCATGCCGGCGTATGCGGTAGTTGTTGGAGACGAAACATGCAGCATGTCTAGTTGTCTTGAAGAAGATGTTCTTGAATGAGCTGTTTGGCTTGCCTTGTGGGGCAGGTATGCTAGGCGACCCCGGCACATGTATTAAGTACAGCTGTGAACTATCAAACCCGTCCATCACGTTTGACAAGTTTTTCCCGACGTCCACAGGAGTGGTTCCAAACGCGGTACGAGTGGGATCTGCTCGCCGTGCGTGGCCTGTGGGCGTTCGGCCCGGACGTGCAGGGGCCCAACGTGCTGCTGGATGACAGTTTGGCTGCGGAGACGGACAAGGGGCTGCTCAATGCCGTGCGGGACTCGGTGATCCAGGTGCGTGGGCTGACTGCGGTGGGCGGGTTTGGAATTTGCAGGTTGCTGACTCTGGCTCTCGCACCGGCTGCATCAAGAAGGAGAAGACGTTGCATGCGGCACTTGTTCCGCATCACCGACCACTCAGGACTCACAATAACCCGCAACGAAACCCCTCGTGCTGCATTCCCCTTTTCATTCGCATCCGCAGGGCTTCCAGTGGGGTGCCCGCGAGGGGCCGCTGTGCGACGAGCCCATCCGTAACGTCAAGTTCAAGATCCTGGACGCCACCATTGCGCCCGAGCCCATCCACCGCGGCGGCGGCCAGATCATTCCCACCGCCCGCCGCGTGTGCTACTCGGCCTTCCTCATGGCCACGCCGCGCCTCATGGAGCCCGTGTACTATGTGGAGATCCAGACACCGGCGGACTGCATTGCCGCCATCTACAATGTGCTGGCGAAGCGGAGGTAGGGTGGGGGCAAGGGCCACTCATTGGGCAGGGTGGGGTTCAAGTGTCTCGGCGACTGCTGGATGCTTGCTGCTTTGGTGATGGCTTGTGTTGCACCTATTGGCTGGGTAATTGTCTTCTTTAGCAAAATATGGAACATCATTGCGGTGAATGACACCATTGGTTGCCGAAATTTCCTAATAACGTCTTGAAGCTTTGTTGCTGCTCGCGTGATCCTGACGTTCCCCATCCTTCGTTTGTGGTTGCGCAGAGGCCATGTAACTGCGGACGTGCCCAAGCCCGGCACGCCCATCTTCATCGTCAAGGCCTACCTGCCCGTTGTCGAGAGCTTCGGCTTCGAGACGGACCTGCGCTACCACACGCAGGTGAGGCCCGCTGCGCCAACACGCGTGACAGCGCCAGCCTAAGAAACTGGAGGGGATCCGGACAATGCTATGCCGCCTGTTTTTGGTTCACGGTTTCAGCTGCCTTGCTTTTTACTTCTAATCACCTTGTCCGCTGCCCCAATCCTTGTCCGCTGTCCCACTTCCCGAGCACAGGGCCAGGCGTTCTGCCAGTCCGTGTTCGACCACTGGCAGGTGGTGCCAGGTGACCCGCTGGACAAGTCCATCGTGCTGCGACCGCTGGAGCCTGCGCCGGTGCAGGTGAGGGAGGAGGCGCCTCTATGCTTACGCTGCAATGCTCTGCTCCTAGTGTACCTTCCTGGCTATGGGAGCTCACAGATGTGGGGATTTCACATATGGCGAGTGAAACCCCGCACAGTCAGGCTGTAAAGTCAGACGGTACTCGCATAGGTTGCCAGCCATCTGAATGCCAAGCACAAGCATCAAGGCCTTTTCCTTGAGGCATTATTTGACGTACACCGCACCTGCCTCTCCTTACTTTCCCGCAGGCGCTGGCGCGTGAGTTCATGGTTAAGACCCGGCGGCGCAAGGGCATGAGCGACGACGTCTCCATCAACAAGTTCTTCGACGACCCCATGCTGCTGGAGCTGGCTAAGCAGGATGCGGACCTGGCCATGATCTTCTAAGGCGGAGCGGCGGCAGGCAGGGTTGTGGCGAGTGTGCGGCGGCTGTGGAGCGGTGTGCTGTGTGTTGGTTGAGGCGATGGGCTGAGGAGGACGTGTGTGCGAGCCGCTTTGCGGTAGCAGGGCCTGCGATTAAACGGCGCGTGCCGTGGTTGGAATTGGTGTGGAGGAGCTGTTACGGTGGTGTTGATGACTTCAGCGGACAAAGAGGTCGTATAGGACAAGACCCAGTCGACTGCGCCAGTGAGTGTTGGTGACGTCAACTGGACAAGAAGGCTCTGTGGGTTACGGAGCGTGATGTTGATGGACCTGTTACAACCTACGCCTGCACCGTTGCGGGAAAGACTGATCTGGTTTCGACGGCTGGGCAACAAAATGCAGTACATGTGCATACCCGCATGCGCGACCTGAGAATCCACACCGGACGTTAGGATTTGTTCCCGCTGACCATGTATGTGTTCCGGCTACATAAGCCGGTAGTGAAAAAAGGCATCTCTCCAGCCTTTATTTCGCTCATCCGTGCCTAGTACGGTTTGATGTGTAATAGTTGAGTTGTCATGCGTCTATGCGTGCTTTCCTTGTAATGCCTGGAAGAAGCTACAACGACGACATTGACATGCGGGTGACAATACCACTTGCAACAGGGCACTCTCGCACGCGTAATGCTAGCTGACAAAGGCAAAATAAGTTAAGAGGCTTGCGGACGTAACGAAGCTGCGGCTCTAGTTGCAGCAGTCCCAAGCTCCCAACGGCCAGACTCCGAAACCTACGGATTTTGCGCGGTGAAGGGCTAGGTGCCTTCTGCCTTGGGCTCCGTGTACCCTTGAATAGCATACTAGAACTATGCCTCAGCAATTTCAAGCTGTTAAATGCTACAAATGTGGAACCTATCAAGTGCAACAGGTCAAGAAAGTGCAGAAGTTTGCCTGCGCAGTTTGCGGCGAGAAACAGACAATACAACACATATATGCAATCAGCAACTCCGCCAAGGATATCAGGCTGCATATACAGCGACTCAATATGGGCACGGCCGCAGCGCAAGAAGAAGCGGAAGAAGTTGCCTGGCAGCGGCTGGAACAGCAGCACGGCCAAAATGAGGCGATCGCAAATACCGATAAAAACATCGTAGAGCAGGATGCACGGCCGGCCAGACCCAATTGGGCAACCTTTACAGCAGGAGATGCCGATGAGGACCCAGGCGACTACGAGGAGGGAGACGACGGCATAGTTACCGTTCTGCCGGATGCTAAGCGAGGCCGTTTCGGCCGTGGTGGCGGCATGAGCCGCCCCTCAAAGCAGCAACGACGAGATGCCGAAGCCGACGAGGAGGACCCGCAGCGGCAGCAGCACATGCAGCGCGGTTTCGGAGCTTGCGGGAACCACCATGGAGCCTCCTTTTCGCACCGTGGCGGGCTCCAAAACCAGCGGGGACCTGCTGCTCGGAGCCAACCGTACGGCAACCAGCAGCCCGACCCAAATGCCAACATTCTGCAGCGGCCTAACTTTACATTAAACCGGGCACGCGGCACAATGCCTGTTGGGCGGCTCCACCACGACCCCTCCTGTGGCCAGCAACCCCACCCAGCGCACCAGCAGCTGCAGCCTACCCACCAGCACTGGCCACGACCGCAGCAGCAACAACAAGAGCAGCGACCGCAGGATCCGCAAGGGCAGTCGTTGTTGCGGCCTGGTCAGAGGCAGTGGACTGCGGCAGGTGCCGCCTCTGTGGAGCCTGCTGGCGTTGCGAGGAGCTCGGCTGTGGTGGGCGCCCGCTGGCCCCAAGCCCCCTCAGTCGGTGCTGGTCGGGCGGTGGGTGGTGGCGGCTTCCAGGGCGTGGGTGGCTGCGGAGCAGCGCAGGGACGTGACATAAAGCCCGGGTTTGGGTTCGGCGAAAGCAAAAGCAGTGGGATGGACGCGGGTATTGGTGTGGCGCAGGCACCCCTGTCGAAAGGTGCTGCATGGCAGCAGCAGCAGCCAACCCAGGGCCTCCCGAGCCAGGCTGCGAGGTGGCAAGCCCCGTCCGCGGACGCAACACATGCAGTTGGTGGAGGAGGGCTGGGTCAGAGGTGGGGCCAGGGCGGGCAGCAGCACCAGGGACAGCCGCAGCAGCAGCCGCAGCAGCCACAGCGTTACCAGCAGCAAGGGGCCGGGAAGGCCGTTGCAGGAAGCGGTGGCAAATGGAGCGACTTTGTAGCGGAGGAAGATGGAGAGGATGGCTGGGGTGGAGGGGGAGGTGCTGATGATGACGGGGGACGCGACGATGGGTGTTTCGTGACGTGCATTTGAATGGGTAGTACGGCAGCAGGATGTGCACACGGACACGTTCGCATACACGTGTTGGTGTGTGTCCTGTTAGCGACGCTGGGTTGGGGGAGGCTGCGCGGGCGATTGGATAAAGATTCGGGAAGTTGGGGCGGGGGAACAGAAGGCCTGTAAGAAGTGAACTTACAGGCATGCGGGGGCAGCCGGCTGAGCTAAACGCTCAGAGATGAGGAATTCATTGTGACTTGGCGGCTTCATGTGCGGTAGCTTCTAGGGTTGTCGTCACGGTGCGTGACTAGGACTATAGAGGCGTGTGCTGGCACTTACAGCACCCCAACTGGCAAGCACAGTCGAAATGTACCTCTGTCACTTCACCACATCAAGCCATGCCTCGCATCGCGCCTTCACTTACTTCGCCTCCACCGGCAATGGCATTGCGCATCTGGACTGGGGACACGCTCCTGCAGACTGCCATGGCCTAGTTGGTATAAGTCCACCTCTCACGGTTAGCTGTTCCCTGCATAATTCCCACTTTACGAATGGTGCCTTTTTGAAAACAGTCATCAGGGCAAACAGGATTGCAACCGGTGTCAACGTTGACTCCAATCCACCTCCGTCCCCCGGCAACCCGCGATTGGCAATCTGTGCAACCTCTGAAGCTCCCGCACGACTGATGTATGAGTATGAAGCAAGCAACATCAGCATCAGGCAAGCAACCGACCCACGGGTCGTGCCGGTGCTGGGCGTCACCAGAAAGCCACCAGGTGCATTAAAGTTGGTCAGACATCTGGAGCCACATGGACATTGCCAAATATACAGCTCACATTCAAGGAGGTGGAGAAGCCAAAACCCCTAGAAACTTTCTAGAGCAGGAAGCGTAACCGCACTTCCCATGTCCTTGGGGACAACACAACATTAGGCGCTGTTTTTATTATGGCATGGCTCTGGGCCATCACAGGTGTTGAGATCGAGACCAGCTGTTGCGACTGTACTGCGGCGTGGAACTCAAGTGTGCTAGTCGGCACCGCTCCCCCACACGCCAATCATTGCCCTCATTGTAACCCCCCCCTGACAGCACCACCAGTATCCACACCAGCGGCTACAAGTCCATGGTTCTACTAGCTTGCAATTGCACGCCGCATTGCCACGCACCCAGTTGAAGCAACTTCCTTCAACCAACTTGTGCTGGGTACGGCAAATGCAGCATGCCTCACGAGGCCATCTCCGTGCAAACACCTGCACGGAATCTTGGCGGACTCAAGAACTGCTAGTCTGCTACTCACCCATTGGCGGCAGTGGAATGAGGCCGACAGGTGGGTCCCCTGGAGCCACAGCAGTCCACTCCACAGCGCCCTGAGCGTCGCCTCCGCAGCCCGCAGCATTTGATGTCTGCTGTCCCTGAGTCTCCCGCTGCTGTGGCGGCCCCACAGGCTGATGTGGCTGCCCCTGCTGCTGCGGCCCCTGCGCCTCATCCCGGGTGTTCATCTTGGCCAGCTGCTCCACCGTGTTGTTGGCCAGCTTGCTCATACCCGCCATGAACTTGCCTGACAAGAGGGAAGAAGGGAAGGAAAAAGAAGGGGTGATAAAAAGGAAACAACTAACTGAGCGGGGGAAAAGAGGGGGGGATTGGGGTAGTCAGGAGATCCATTAGGTGGGGCGCCATGCATGGCTGGCGATAAAACTGCTTATTGCTCGCTACCTCCCAGCGTTACAGCGGAACCCCACAACATGTCCCATTGTCCGTTCCACCGGGGACCATTCACGAACCCCCAAATTGAATAAGTCGCCGACTGTAACCAAGCAACATTTGATCCAACCACAGTTGTCAAGGTATACATGCGCATAACCCACCCTTGGCTTTCTCCGCCTCCTTTTCCCTGCCGGAGTCTGCACCGTCGCCATCAACCTTGTTCACCACCGCCACCACCTCAACCTTGCGTTGCTTCTGCTCACGGATTCGTTCGATGGTGGATGTGGGCAGGGAACCAATTCCCTCGAATGCGCGATTCATGAGCACGTCGCGGTGATGGAAGCTGCCGGTGAATCGGTGCAGGCACATCAGCACGGCAGCTGGACCGGGTTGGGAGTAGTTGGGGGTGAGGAGGGGAAGGGGTTCAGAAAAGCCATAAGGTTGCAAAGAGGGGCCGAGAAGAGAGGATGGAAGCAACGGCATTCACTGCCCGTATGCGGAAGGAGGGAGGCGAAGAGGAGATGCACACGACATGGCGTCATACCAGTGCTCAACATTACGATATACCTTTCCCTTTTGGGCATAGGGATTGTGGACATCACTTTCAGATACCCCAACGAAAGCCCAGCTTCGTACATGACCGTGCCTCATCTCTAGTGTGGATCCGTGCCTCCCTGTGTCCGGGACTGTCCCCCCAGCCCCCAGTGTCAGGAACGGCGGCCGCCCCCGCCCGCTGGTTTGGATCGCGTCCTCCCCGTCATGTCCAACGACGTTATGCCCCTCCCCCACAGGCGGGGCCGTGCAGCCCCCCCACCTGTGTCCGGGGTGGTGCACAGGGTAGGCGCGTATGTCGTCAGCAGCGCCAGCGCCACTCGGAACAGGATCTTGGGGCCCTCGAAAAACAGCGCATCCCACACGCGCATGACAGTCTGGGGGCAGGTGAGGAAGGTTTGATTGAGAAGTGGCAGGGAAAGGATCAGGGGTAAAGAGGTAACTAAGGGGTAAAGGAGGCAAGTAAGGGGCAACAAAGGGATCAAGGAGGAGGCTGCTGGTAGTGCAGCCATGCGCAATACCTCCTTGCCCATTTCAACACCACACATTTACTCTCACCTCCGCCGGCAGGGATGTCGAGAACAGCCCCAGGTACCAGCCCTCAGCTACCGTGGAGAGCTGGAAGTCGATGGACGAAAAGTGGGCGGCCAGGCGAGGCAACTTTGAGGCTACCAGCTCAGACAGGGCGCGCATCTCAACCTGGGGTGCCCGGGGAAAGGAGAGATGGAGGACTGAGGGTACCGGTATCAAACTGACGGGTGCAAACAGTAACAATAGTCCGCTACACAGATCTGGGGTTCCCAGCCAGCTCCCCACGCGAGACACCTTCAGCACGCACCCATGGCAGGGTTAGGGTTATCTTCAACCAGAGGATGGTTTTGACAGTGAGTCAGTCCAGATGAAAGGGCAAAGTAGTGCGGACCACCGGCCCCATCCCTCCTCCTCTGCTGCCTACCTGGCATCCCTCCAGGTTGCGGCTGTACGTCCCCGGGTGCAGTATGTCCTCCACCAGCGCCGCC